TTATAATAATATTATAATATTTTTAAAACATTTTTAAATCTTTATTTTATTTTTAAAAATTTTTATTATATTATTAAAAATGTTATAAAAATGTTTTTTTTTTATAAAAACATATTTATTATATATTATCTTATTATAAAAACATATATAATTTTTTTTAAGTTTTAGTAAAGAAATTTAATTTGTATTTTATGTTTATTTATTTTTCTTTTTGAAATTTATTAAAATTCTACTATATTAAATCATATCATCTTTAACCATATTAGCCAGCCAATTATATTATATTAGCTGACTAAGCCAGCTTAGCTGTGGCTGCTATAGCTGGCTTAAATTACTATTACAAAAAGTTTTATTAAACAAAAGTTGTATGTATAAATCCTTAATTAGCATAGGTAGTATCAACAACTCTAAGATAATATTGGGATCTTGTTTGAGAAGATAACTGGTAATAATTAGAATTAAAGTAATGAGAAAAGTGGTGAAATGCAATAGGATCTGTAATAAAGAATTGGCTTTACCAAGTTTAAAACACCTCTGATATTAGTACTACTATCATCTTAAAAAGAATTATTTAATATAGAGAAATTGGCAAGCAACTTGGGATACATGTAAATCTAAAAACAGCTAAATTATACCTAAGTGAAAGTATTTGTACAAAAAAAAATTACAGAATACCAGCTTTAAAATATCAACAAAGGTTGAAATACCCAGTCAATTGGAAGTAGTATAAATATATTACAAAAGCTCAGCTAGAAGTCTTTTTCTAACTAGGTAACTAAAATAGAAAAAGTTAAACACCCAACCTGTAATATAAACCAATGTTATCAAGACCTGCACTACATATAAAAGACACTATACATTACAAGAAAAAATTGTACTTGAGATACAGATTGATGTTGCGGTAATATTCAAAGATAGCTTGAGATACGAACTTAGCAGCAGCAATACATGTACTTGCATTACATCAAGTATTAGATAGAGGAAGCAGTAGTACAGAAATTCAAGTAAATACATAAAGTGGAATATGTACTGCTCTGGTAGATTTAGATCACAGACTAGATTAGTCTAAGCTAACGTTTTTAAATACGTATATCACATAAAAAAATTTTAAAAAATTATTTAATTTTCCTAATACAATAATTATAATATTTTGTAATTTTAATAAAAATTACAAAAGTAAATTTGGTTTAAAGTTAATATATTTATTAAGTTATATTTGTATATAAGTTTGTAAGTAAATTAAAGTTTTTTTTTTTTTTTTTTTTTTTACAAATTTACATATAAATTCGGGTGTGTCAACTCATTTGAATCTCTGTAAAAAGTTATATCTCATGCCTGTTATATTTAACCTGATTTAATGAAACTTTTGCTCAGCCATTTCAGCCATTTTATTTAAAGAAGAGCCAGCTTTAAACCACTCAATTTGATTTTCATTAAATGTATGATTGACAGGTATATCTACAGTTTCTCCAGATTTTTTATGAAGCCTAAGTGTAAGAGGCTTTCCAGGAGCAAAGCTTGTCAGACCAATAATTGATACCTTATCAAACGGGTCAATTTTATCATAATCTGAAGCATTGGCGAATGTAAGTGGTAAAAGGCCTTGCTTTTTTAGATTTGTTTCGTGAATTCTGGCAAACGACTTCACAATTACGGCACATCCATTCAAATGGCGTACTTCAAGAGCTGCATGTTCTCTTGAAGAACCTTCACCATAATTATCATCACCGATTACAACCCAAGGGATTCCTAAGTTTAACACCACCAACTCAGTATAAATCGACCCATATATTATCCACCAGAAAAATAATAATAATAATAAATACCTTTAGATTTATAATCTCGAGCAACGTTAGGGACAGCATCATACTCTCCAGTGAAAATATTTTTTATTTTATTAACTTCATTATTCTCAGCATTCAGAGCACCGATCAACATGTTATTTGAAATGTTGTCTAAGTGACCGCGAAACTTAAGCCAAGGTCCGGCCGCAGAAATATGATCCGTGGTACATTTACCCTTAACTTTAATTAAAATTGGTACTTGTTCTATATCCTTACCATTCCATTTGGAAAATGGGTGTAATAGTTGAAGGCGATTGCTCTTGGGATCTACTTTTACTTGAACTGAAACACGATCCTTTGGAGGATATTGATACGTATTTTCACCAGGATCATATCCTCGAGGAGGTAGTTCGTTACCACTTGGACCAACAAATTTGAATGACTTTCCATCTGCGCCAGTAAGAGTATCGGTAAGAGGATTGAAACGTAGATCACCGGCGAAGATCATTGCAGTGACAATGTCAGGAGAAGTAACAAAGGCGTGAGTTGCAGGATTAGCGTCATTACGACCTGTGAAATTTCTGTTATATGATGTAACAATTGAATTCTTTTCGCCTTTTTTAACATCTTTACGATCCCATTGGCCGATGCATGGGCCACAGGCATTTGCTAAAACAATACCACCGGCATCAGTTAATATCTTTTCCTGTCCATCACGTGCAATGGTTGCTCGAATCTGTTCAGATCCAGGTGTTATGGTGAACGTAGACTTAGCCTTAAGTCCATGATCAAGTGCTTGTTTAGCAATAGAGGCGGCACGGGACATATCTTCATATGAAGAATTGGTGCATGAACCAATCAAACCAACTTTAAGTTCTACTGGCCAATCGTTCGTTATCACAGCATCCTTGAATTTACTTATAGGTGTGGCAAGATCAGGTGTAAACGGACCATTAAGATGAGGTTCAAGTTCAGATAAATTGATTTCAATTAATTGATCATATTCAGCACCTTCATCAGCACGCAAATTGTGAGCAAATGACTCGGCATAAGCAGCAACTTCGCTGCGTTTAGTAGCACGGAGAAAATCGCTCATACGTTTGTTAAATGGGAAGAGAGACGTAGTGGCACCGATTTCTGCTCCCATATTGCATACTGTAGCCATACCCGTACATGATAAAGATTCAACACCAGGACCAAAGTATTCAATTATAGCGCCAGTGCCTCCTTTAACAGTTAAAATACCAGCAACCTTCAATATAACATCTATTATTATTGATTATAATTTTTAATTTAAATTATATATTAGTTGAGATTAATTAACAAATTTCATTATAAAAACATCTTTATAAAGACCTTTTGGAGCAGTCCAACCACTCAAAGAACCTGTTAATTTAACACCAATAACCTTTGGACATTTTAATTCCCAGGGAAGATCAGCCATAACATCGACTGCATCAGCACCGCCAACACCAATAGCAACCATACCCAATCCACCAGCATTTGGTGTGTGAGAGTCAGTACCTATCATTAGACCACCTGGAAAGGCATAATTTTCCAAAATGATCTGATGAATGATACCAGAGCCAGGATGCCAAAATCCAATATTATATTTAGCAGAAGCAGAGGACAAAAACTTATATACTTCAGAATTAATTTCTTTTGCACGCTCCAGATCTTTTGGGCCACCCACTTGAGCTTCAATTAAATGATCACAATGAACGGTTGTTGGAGCTGCAACTTCAGGAATATTAGCAGACATGAATTGAAGAAGGGCCATCTGAGCAGTAGCATCTTGGCAAGCGACACGGTCCGGCCGTAACCTAAGATACGATGTTCCACGGATAATCTCTTGTTCAGCAGCATTATCTAAATGGCCATAAACTATCTTTTCAGAAAGAGTCAATGGACGGCGAAGCCTAAACAAAAGTAAAAAGTAAAGATGTATAATTATAGATAAATCAATCACTAATATTCAAAATTCATTGTGTACACCATGGAATCGCCTTTACGATTTACCTATTATTTTCAAAAACGCTGTGGTGTACACATCAAATTTTGAACATATACATAAATTCTAAAATATGAAATATCGATTGTAAGAGAATGTTTTTTCTTAATTAAAAAACGAAGTAAATAGTTATCAACCTTTTTTTTACAATGGCCAGATTATCTTCAATTCTTTGATAATTTATGTATTTGTCAGGTTCAAAGTTAGACATGGGAACTTTCTTACTACCAACTGAGAGCACTTGCGCATAGTTGCGTGTATACACCCTTCTTGCGGCCTAGTTATAAAACGAATTTTTTCTAAAGCGAAAAGTAAAAGAATAAATAATAATGTCTGAATACTTACACCTAACGTTTTTGACAGTTGACGAGTAAGCATTTCTGTTTAAAAAAAAAATAAAAAATAAGAAATTGAATTCATAGTATCGAATATGCAAGATTATAAAATTTTATGTGATCGAAATTTTTGCTGGGACGCAGATCGGATCACAAATCAAAGTTAATCTAAGTTAATCTTTTAGATTAAGTTTGCAACACAGAGCACGTGTACGGTATTTCGAATTATATATATGTGTATATATATAGTATATGAGCGTCGTCAAAAGAAAACCCGACAATCTAAAAATAGATCACATAGATCATTATGATCTATTTTTAGATTGTCGGGTTTTCTTTTGACGACACTCATATATATACTGATATTTGCTACTATACATCAGATAGGCGTGATGTGGTTGCACACACCACCTGGAACATTCTGTTAACACTATATCGATATCACTCTTGGCATGTCTATATTAGTGCAATGTAAAATTTCCAGTATTGCGGAAATTTTGCAGGATGTCGAGCAATTTATACACTATGTACAATATTGTTACTATCGGAGGGAACCGATACACAAAGATTCGGATTTAGAAAATGCTAACGCTAATAATTCAAAAACGTAATAAAAACGAAAGCAAGGATTGAAATCAGTTTTGACTAATTAGTTAATTAAACATATTAGTTAAACTGTCAACTGATTTGATTCCAACCCTTAAACGAAAGAATGACGTATAGCATTAAATGATTATAACAGTAAACGTCTGAACCTGAGATCGGTCTATCCGTCTTTGATTAACTCCGACAGATATTCGGATAAACCGGATGATAAATTATTATCATGCAAACACGCATAATCATGAGTTTACTTGTGTTATGACATAAAACAAGGATAATTCGACATATAATTACTTAGTGGCAGAAATTCGCCTGATTTGCTAATGCAAATCAATTGCTTGGGTAACTTATACTTTTAGAACGCAGTAACCACTTTTAACAGGGTCCGTATTACTTCGTAGAAGTTTATTTCACAGACACCTTGTTTCACAGACAATCACTTCATAGACAATTAATTTACAGACAGTTCATTTCATAGACAGTTCATTTCATAGACATTTCATTTTGTAGACAATTTTAACAGCAAATAACTCCTGAATCAGTGTTAAAAATTGTCTACAAAATAAAATGTCTATGAAATAAACTGTCTATGAAATGAACTGTCTATAAATTAATTGTCTTTAAAATAAACTTGTCTATGAAGTAATTGTTTGTGAAACAAGATGTCTGTGAAATAAATTTCTATGAAGTGATACGGGCCCCTTTTAACACACTTCAAAGAGGTGCCAACTTTAAAAATAATCTTCAAAAATCTTTAATTTAAAAGTAATAATGACTTTTTGAAATAGATAAAGTTTTTAAGTAAATAAGAATATTGTAGCCAGGTTAAAGTTTTTTTTTTTTTTTTAATATTAGGATGTAGCACCTGCCCCAGACTTTTATTAATACTTAAGCAAGTTGACATTTGTAGTACCAAAATACATACATATTATATATTAGAACTAGAACTCTGGATTTATACATCTTTCTCTAACCACCAATTAGTATTCACATATTTATCACTTTACTCACATATCTAATATCTTAATTTTCAAATTGGTATATATCAGGTGGGTGTTTATTATTTTTAATTTAGTATGTCAGGTCCCAACTAGCATACTTTCAGAAGTTCATATCTTAAGTTATACACCCAATTGAGTAAATATCTCAAGCCTGCATGCTGTTATAACTAGCTGGTTTCTTGCAATTTTGAGATTTAGATTTTAACATTTTGAATTTGGTATTGTGTAAATGATTGTATTTCTCAATATAGTGACAAGGCTACTTAGGCATGTTTTACAGATACTTTCAGTACTTAATATAGTTGAATGGAATCATAAGGTCTAGGAGTTTTTAATAGGTGCATCATTGTTTTTTATTTATGATAATTCTTAGTAATTGTAACCTCTAGTTATTACTGCATTTACTTATACCAGTTATATCTGTATTGGTGGTTTCGAGTCTTCTTAATGTTTGAAAACTCCTATATAAGTACAACTAGAGCCTGTTAAGTCTATCAATATATATATACTTTTATATTTCAACTTCTTATTAGCTAGTGAGTTCTGTATATGCCAGAGATGTTTCAAATCTGATAAAGCCAATTCTTTAATACAGGTCCTTTTGTGTTTACCATATTTTTTACTACAGTATTTCCAATTCTAATTACTATTTGGTCATTCTCCCAAACAA